TTATCCGTTTCCCGCTCTAACTGCAAAACTAAAGGTGACCTTTGCTGTTTTATCCCCAACATTGTGGAACAGTCTTCAGCGTCGTTTCTCTTTACATGCTCCCTATGTTTGTTTGATTGGGTATGGTTATGTTTATTTGTTGTTTGTAAAGCACTTTGGATCTCTGTGTCAGAAAGGTGCTATATAAATAAAGCTTTACTTACTTACTTATTGTAAAAGGTTAAGATTAAATACATTGTTGGGTCAGTTGGTGCACTACAACAGTCCAGTTTCTAAATCTGAAAGATCATAATTGCTGTTCCACTAATCTAATTTGACTGGTGCCTGCATCATTTACATGTCTCACTTGTTTTCCTCGTTGGAGCCTGATTGAATAGAGACAATAACACAGGTTGTTATTTTCAGGAAAACACGGGTGAGGTGTATGACGTGGTCAATTACAAACCCAAAGCGAAGCCTGGGGTGAGCGTCCAAGCTCTGCGGACTCTGTGGGACCAGAAAAATGCTCAGCACAGCGACGCGGGCAATACTCAAAGGATTCAGCAGCAGAAGGATTCTCCAACAGTGCATCCACCTGCACTACCACCCAAATCCAGCAACAGAAAGCTGACGGGGGCGGTGTCTGTAGACACAGTGTCCCTCGCACAGGTATGATGTCATTAGACCTGATCGATTATTAGAGTTTGTTTGAGGACGCAGAAAGAAAAAGACTTAATTACGTTTTCCTGCTGGACACAAGATGTCTCCTCCTTCACTGTAGAGTCTCAGTGTCTGTGCTCTGGTGGATCTCACTGTAGAAGCTGGAAACTGGATCAGGGTTAACTTCCTGAACTATTTGTGATGTCACAAATCATGCTCGTAAGCCCCACCCCTTTAAATCAGATGTTCAGTGAGCTCAGAGAAACTTTCTACTTTCAGCAGATTAATGTGAAAACATTCTTCTAGAGTCAAAGTCTGCACAGACATAGTTCAACCATCAGACTGTAGGAACACTGAATTCTGACTGCAGGGAGCTTCAAGTTTAATTAAACTGCAAAAAGGAATCTTAAGAAAGTAAAAAAGACCAAAAAATAATCTTGTCAAGCATGTTCTGCATTAGAAAAGTAATCTGGTTTTAAGAAAATATGTCAGACTGTGTTTCTAGGTTCTTCATTTAAGAGAAAGTCACTTATATTTATTCTGCTGTTTGAAGAAATTGTGTCTTATTGTAAGAATTTTGGGCTAATTATTAATCTCAGATTAAAGGTATAAATTTAGCTCTTTTTTAATAAAGTTTTCATTGCTTGTAATAAGCACAACTTACTTAATTTGTTATCATTATTTCTAGTTTTAAGGCTCATATCATAGTCTTTTTAGGTCACTATGGAGTTGTCTGAATATTTGCAGATATTTCTGCTCGATAAATGTAAACTCAAATGTACCAAAGTTGGCATTTACACACATATGTGACAATTTACAGGAAAAACCAACACAATGAAAGCATGTATGAAAGCATCTACATTGGTCCTGTTTCTCCACTCATTCATTCAGGTTTTTGCTTTAATTTGTCACCGGTCTATGGTTGGTTGTAGCTGAATGCTCCTTCATAAATCTAAAACACCACCGGACTGTAAAAACAATCATCAGAGTTAAATACTGCAAACCAACACTTTCCTTTGTGCATCGACGTCCCATAGACGGACCTTACACAAAGAGAGTCGCATCCAAACGCAGATATCAGACCAAACTGAATTAATAAGTTATAAATGGGTTAATGAGTCCATGTGAGTTATAAATGGGAATATTTATCTGAGTGCTCAGTGGTTAGGTTGCGTCACAGAGGAGAGATAATATCTTTTTGCAGGACAATTTCATTTGCATTGACAGCATTAACCACTGACTCCTGCCGGCACAACTTTCACTACAACAAACCACTGACAGTATAAATAATGGACAGAGCTCCTGGGTCTGTGAAGTGAAGCCAATGAGGAAATGTCTTAAAACTGCATTCTCTGTAATTTCTAGCAGCAGGAGCTCCACTGGTTGCAATAACACACAGATACCATACAGTCTTATGGAGAAATGAGTCGACTTCTCAGTTGATTTCTGAGCTCAGTGAACAGTTTCCTGATGCGTTTCTGGTCTCAGTCTCTAGTTTCAGTCTTCTTCCATACAGCATGATGTTCATTTAGTAACTGATGGTCCCATTTAGAGTAAAACAGACCATAAAGCAGGGTATGCTTTGGGGCGGGGCTACCTTGTGATTGACAAACTCAGATCAAGCTGCTTCTTGCACCCCGTTGTTGGGTATGCTTATTATTGTTGCTGGCTACAAAATCAAAGGTAGTCTACAAGTATCTTGATTCTCTCTCTGTGCATACGGTCGGCCTAAATGTGTTGTCTCGCTCTCTTCAACAAATGATTGGTACTTGATATGGTATTCAGGAAGCCCAACAGTTGGTGCTGGGTTAACAAGGTAGAAAAGGTCGATTTTGTAGAACAGGCGGCTAAGAATACGCCCAGGGGTTGGCAAGCTAGATAACAAACTCTGTAGGACGGACTGAGCCTCTTTCTCAGGTGAGTGTGCTCACACCATTTCCTTTTGAAACGCCAGCATCCATCTTCCTCGCTATGCTGATTCGCGGGCAGGTAAACAAGCAACAGTTGTGTGTGAAAGGAGTTAAAGGCCTGTTCTTCCCTGTCATCCATATTCTCATTATGTCTTTCAGGGTGTACCTCCAGTGCCAAAAAGAGGCATTCCTCTGGGTTTCTCCCTGAGTGGATCTTTACCTGACACAACCCCACATCCAAGTGAAGAGGACAGAGGAAAGCCAGGCTCGTTTAATAGCACTGACACAAGCTATCCGGGTGATCTTTGTCCACCGGGGATCACGTACTCTGAGCTCACACAGGTGGAGAGCAGAAGCAAATCTCTACCAAGACTGAACAACAACGGCATGGAGGAGGAGGAGGAGTACTCCAACCAGCTCAGCAGTCCCTCCTTCACAGCGTTAACATCTCACTCACCCACTCCGCTGAAGAGGGTCACCTGTCACACCTACTCCCTCCACGAGCCCAGAGACACTTTGAAGCTGAGCAGCTCCAGGTCAGAACAGCAGGGTGAAGACGTGGAAATGCTGAAGTCCAACCCGCTGTACCAGACCACTGAGGGGCCTGGAGGGAGTTCGGCACGGCAGGGAGGCGCCACGTACACGGAGGTCCCCGAGAGGCCAACGCCTGCCGGGCTGCCCGATGACACCTACGAGCAGATCCCCGGGGAGGCCGCCGCCGTCCAAGGAAACACTTACGAGTCGCTGGAGGATATGAAGACCAAGAAGTCCAAATCCACCTGGGGGAAAAGTGTAAGTCAGGAAGAATGATCACAGCTGTTCATGTTTTCTGGAGCAGAAATATTTAATTCAAATGTTTTTTTTTGTTTGCAGAATATAAAATGGAAGAAATTCCTTCCTGATTACAAGAAGAAATAAATGTGACTTGAAGACATCACCTGTTTGATATTTTAACTGAGGCAGAAATGAGTATTATAAATAAATCACTTTAATAATTGCATTTTATTAGGTAAGAAAGTCACTCAGACAAGAACTCAGATGTTTAAACGCTGCAATAATCTCACTCTGCATAAATCAAACAGGAGTTATCGTTATTTATTCTTCTTCTGGTCTTTTCCCCTTTTTTGTATCTCATGATTTTATGTAAATTTGAATAAAAAACATTAATGAAGATGAAAGGTACAATATGGACGGATTTTTGTTTAAAACATAAATTTACGAAATTTATCAACAGAATTTAGAGAGATAACAGTTTTGACGTTACGTAAAATACGTTTAGGTATCGTGTTACAGAGATATCTCCTGAAGTTAGTATGCTAACCAGCTAGATAACAGTGAGTCAGTGCAGCGTGCAGTCCGCCCTCAGAACAACAACAACAACAACAACAACGAGATGGTTTATCTCCGGGCACCTCGTGGCAGACCCCGCCACAACCTGGCTGTGCCTTCATCGTGTATCTATTAGTTGTTTTTTAGTTATTTTCTTTATATTTTATTCTGCAGTGTGTTAATTTGGGTTGTGTTTTACTTCATTCTTCACATTTGACCCGGTTTAAACATTTAGGAGCAGTTGGCAGACTGTATGCATCTCACTGGCACAAACTCCAGGAGGCATTTCTTCTTATCTTTTCTGCTTGTATTTTGCTCTGTGTTTCAATTTGCTTTTTTGTACCGTAGAGCAATTTTATCGACAAATAAAGTTTAAAACTGTGTAATTATTGTTTGATTGTTATTTTAATTCAGTCAGTGTGACACTATCACTGCTACAAAGACAGTTCTTTTATGAGTGTTACTGTACTGCACTGTAACACTGTTACAGATAAACAGACTAAATATGTCAACTTCAACGTATTACTCGTTACTTGTTACTCTTCTCAAAAGTGATGTTTAACTTTACGTATTATTACCTGCCAACAGTAATTAGTTACTTTACTAGTATCCTCACAAAACTGGTAATTGTGTCCTTTCTCCTTAAAATTACACAACAATTAAAATACAGTTTTGTTGGCTAAAGTCAAAGTAACGGAATATTTCCAGCTGCTACTCTGTTTATTCATCATCTTATTTATTTAATTAATTTATTGTTTTATATGTTTTGAACTCAATACTGCTACTATCTGTTTTTATCTTTGTTTTTGCCACGATTACAAAAATGAATCCAAGGAAGTGATTGTTAGATTTTAAATCAGTAGGGGATGATAACAAAAGTAATATTGTAACTAATTATTCGGGGGGGTAGCTGTAGTATTATTACTGACATGTATTAGTAATTAGTTACTGGGTAAAGTAATATTAACACTAGTAATGAGTTACTAACACTGCTCCAGACATGCCTGTAACAATAATGTGCCTCTGGGCGGGTGCAGTTCCCTCTGCTGACCGCTAGATGGCGGAGTGTTCTCTGCGTTCTACCAGCAGGCTGCCAGAGAAGAAGCAGCAGAAGAAGACATTACGGAAGTACGGCTTCCAAACAGATTCCCGTTGGAAGAGTAAAATCCAGAAGATCGTGTTTCTGTCACTAAATCAGATTAAATCAGATTAAATCAGATTCAATCTTGGACTAATTGTTTCTCATTAGGACGATGGGCACTAGAGATGACGAATATGATTATTTGTTCAAAGGTAAAACAACGTTTTTCTCTCTTTATTGTGACAGTTAGCTGTTAGCCCGTTAGCTGCCAGGCTAACGCAGGCCGGCTGATTGACTGTGAGGCTAAGCTAACGATGCTAACGATGCTAACGATGCTAACGTCAACCTTTGTGCTCGGATTGTTTCTCAACGAGTCTTTCACGGAAACGTCAGCGGGTCGGATTCATCCACGCGACCCAACACGAGCCTCCTGCGCAGGGCGGGAGCGCGGTGTGTCGTCCATCGATCCCGCTGCGTTACTTATCGATCATCGATCGGGCGTCTCACAGCGGCTAACGTTAGCTTCTGTTAGCTTCTGTCAGTGGGCGCGGACACACCTAACGTTACCTCATTACCTCATTACCTCATTAATTACCTCATTACCTCATTAATTACCTCATAATTATATATAATTATATTATAAATAACCTCATCATTATTATTATTATTATTATTATTATTATTAAAGATTAAAATCCGAGGAAGAAGCCAGTGGAGGTAAATAAAGTTGTTTTCTATCTGAAGTATAATTTGTTGGATATAAAATCTGGATGCGTTATAATGAAATTATAAAGATATTATTAGTTAATTATTAATTAATGCTAGCTGGTAAAATGGCTCTCTCTGCTGCACCCTAATCAATCAGTCCTATCGATCCGTTCCAATACTAACCTTTAGGATTATCTACAGGAACACACTTTAAGAGCCTTATTGGGAATCTATAGCCAATAAAATACAGTTCAGATTCTTATATAAGTATTATTGTATTTAAGATTTAAAGATTAAATCGATTCTTGCAGTTTTCAGTCTTATTGGAAATCAGTTCTCAGTTCAGTGGTTCCCAACCTTTCCTTTCTTCCTTTTAATGTGATCAGCTGCACATTGAATCCAATCAGTGAACTCAGGAAGTTTGTGTGAAATCAGACTTTTGGATGAATTCTCGTTTAACTTTAACTTTTTATACAATTCTGTGTCTGTATTTTATGTATTTTAATTTTATTCTAACAGTCGTACAGAGATAAAGGCCTACAGCAAATATTTTTTTTTTTTTTTTTTACCCCTTTAAAAAAAAAAAGCCCCTATAAATTTTTTTTACCCCCCCCCCCCGTCTTTAGAAGATTTACTGAAAATAACTGATTTTACTTTTATTCCTTATTCTAAATCTAACTTTGGATTATTGTAAAATCCTGCTGTCCAGGGGAGAGTAAGGTCTGATGGTCAATAATGATCCATGTGAAACTGAGCAGATATTAGAGAACCTCAGAGAACCTCAGAGAACCTCAGAGAACAAGGATCAGATACAGACTTCAGAGGAACAAGTAGGAAACTGGTTATTAGAATACGTATCAGCCTCTATGTGAATGTATTCAGGAACTATTTTTACTTTCTTTTTAGGTCAGGAGGGTTTTATATATTCATATTTTATGTTTTATTGTATTTTATGTATGATCGGACTGACTGTGGTTGTGTAATATATATGTGCACTTTAGCACCAGATACTCGTTTTATACATTTACTGATAGACACAATAACATATATTTAAGATCTATGGTGTTCGAAATGACTACAAATACATATAATTACAAAACCATGCAGGTTAGATACTCCACTTTATCTACAAATACAATATATTTACTGATATCGAGTACCAATATGAGCCCTGAATAATACCACTGTAGTTCTAACAATGACTTTAAAAACAGGTTTTATTCGTTAAATGTAACTAATGTTGTCAGAAGTGTTGTTTATAATTAGGGCTGCACAATATGATAAAAACAGATGTTATTGTGGTGAAATATGATTCACTATTAGGGAGAATTTTGGAATCATAAAATTTTCCTTTCCACTCAAAAAAACCAATCAAATCATCTTAATGTGACATTTGAAGCAAACAAACATGTTTTCTAACATCTGGAGAACCAGAGTACCTCAGTACTTCATTATAATGCTGTTCTGTCACATCTGACCTTTTAACAGCAGTTTGGACTTTGCACGTGTTCAGATTGCGATAATATTTAGATTAATTGTGCAGCTCTGCTTACAGTCTCCAAACTGCTGCCGTTGCTTCTCCTCCTCCTCCGCCTGCCCGACTAACAGGAGGTTATACATCACGCTGCCGTAGAGCGCTATCAGGTGAACATCAATTACTTGCAGCGTCGGACGGATGCTGACATCGGCGGATTCCCTAAATTGATTGTAAATAAAATAGAAAAATGTAATTGATAAAAAGCATGAAATATAAAAAGCATCATTATTGGTTTGAAATAACTTAAAAGATTCTCAAATTAGTTGCTGATTAAGTTTGTGTCGTTGGACTTCAATCAGCTAATTATTGCAGCTTTAATCAATATCAGAGATATACTAACTTTAATGTGGTTTGTTGATTATAGAGATTATAAAGTGAGATCAGTGCATTCAGGTGTAGTTTGTATGAAATCTGTTAGAAAATAGGAGTTAAAATGTGAGTAAAAACCCACACAGGAAGCACATGAATGGTCCATTTCTCGGGTGTTTTTTTAAACGTGTTACTCCGCTCTGTGTTGCAGTGGTCCTTATCGGTGACTCGGGGGTGGGAAAGAGTAACCTGCTGTCCCGTTTCACCCGAAATGAGTTCAACCTGGAGAGTAAGAGCACCATCGGAGTCGAGTTCGCCACGCGCAGCATCCAAGTGGACGGCAAGACGGTGAAGGCCCAGATCTGGGATACGGCGGGCCAGGAGCGCTACCGTGCCATCACATCAGCGTGAGTACAGAGCGCTGCAGGATAATGAGTTAGCATCACCTCTGGTTCCCTAATGGGGGGAAATAAAGGTCTGTGGTTAACACAAGCTTAAGAGCTTTACTCGTATTCTTCTACAACATAAAATACGTCAGCACATTTTCCCGCCCGTGAGTTTTTAAGTTTTTGTGTCTTAAAAAAGGTGGTCGCTAACGAGTGGCCACATGAGACTATAGAGGTTGTCAGTGACATTAAACATGGAGACTTATCTCCTCAATAGTAGTTGGAAGTTTAGTGGCGACCGCGATGTAGTTCATTTATAGCCTGACTTTAGCTTTTAGCTTTTTCATTGGAACCAGGGCGACGTTAACTTTTGGGTTTGGGCTACAAAAACACATCATCCCTACAGTGCACTATAGAGGAGGTCAACAGGTCTTTACAATGTATACATAATCCCATTCCTATGCAAAACAGTGAAGCAGTAGCAATATCCAGGCACTCCCAATGTCCATGTTGTAGCATTCCAGCTCTGCAACTTTAAACTATAGCTGTTTTACAAATGACAGAAAGGATAATAAAAAACGAATGAATGAGCTAAAACACTTAAATCCATCTGTACTAATACAACACACTAACAGTTAGAGGCTGAAATCAGGTTACAAAGTGCTCCCACTAGATCACATCATATATTATTATATATATTAATATATATATAGCAGTGATTTGGCTCTGAAGATAACTGTATGATGTTGACCTGTATCCCTACGTGTGTGGCTCTGCTGCAGGTACTACCGCGGGGCGGTCGGTGCTCTCCTGGTCTACGACATCGCCAAGCATCTAACTTATGAGAATGTGGAGCGCTGGCTGAAGGAGCTGAGAGATCACGCCGACAGCAACATCGTCATCATGCTGGTGGGCAACAAGAGCGACCTGCGTCACCTCCGGGCCGTCCCCACCGACGAGGCGCGGGCTTTTGCTGGTAAGAATGTCCTGTTTTTAAGATAACAATTATTTTCATTATCGCTCAATTATTGATGATTTTCTCAATGAATCCGTTAGTTATTTGCTTCATAAAATGTCAGAAAATGGTAAAAATGTAGATAATTTTTTCCCAAGGTGTCTTATTTTGTCCACATCCCAAAACATGTTCAGTTTACCGTCATTGACAACTAAAGAAACCCGAAAATATTCACATTTGAGAAGCTGAAATTAATGATGAATCATGAATAAGATTTCATCCTAAACGACACGTTAAAACAACCCCAAAGCTGTCAACAAAGCATAGAAATATCCGTCCAGAACAGTAACTTAATGACACTATTTTATATCTGTGTTACGTAAGAGAAGATTAGAGTATTTTAAACATTTGTGTGTTTTTTAGGTGATGATTTGTAAGGGCTGAGCCCCAAATCTCATTTTCAGTCCAATAACTTTAATTTTTAAAGCTTTATTGGACACAATAAAGTGAAGCACAATAACAATACGACGGGTTATAAACTTTGTGCACGCAGAGGAGAAAACCTCACAATGTGAATAAAGTGAAAAAGGATTTGTGTATCCGCCCGTGATTCAGATCCGCCCAAAGATTTTAATGGATTCTTCTATTATTCAATATTTCGATTTTATTTGACATCTCTAAATATATATACTGTGTCAAGTACTGCAACAAATACATACATATTCATTTAAAATGTCATGGATAGCACAAAAAAGTTCCTTTGTCCTCCTTCCAGGAAGACAATTAAGCTACATTAAAATACCATACATCCTTCCCTATAAAAGCAAACTGCAGGGTTACTAGGATGTATTGTATTTTCCCATAATCCTCAAAACATAACCGCACCGAGTGTAAAAAGGAAATAGATTTAAAAGGCCGAACCACAAGCACCCGACAAATAAAAATACAGAGGTCGAGTAGAAGCCCCTCACCACCTCAGAAAAGACTCATATTCAGCCTGAACTCACAACTCAGTCGACCCTGATCCAGTTCCAGCTCTAACGATTTGTAAATTAAATTAGATTATAGTGTAACTTACAGTTCTCTAATGATTCTGATGAATGCATTGAAATGATGATAAGAGAAACTGTGTGTTTTAAGTTATTGTACCACAGTGAAGGTCTAACTGGATGCTTTCACTGTCACATATTTCTCTTTAACGGGTCGAGCGCTCTGCTATCTGAGGAATGTTACATATTTGAAATACGGTTAACGTGTTGCTCAACTTTCGCCCCGCAGAGAAGAATGGTTTATCTTTTCTGGAGACGTCGGCTCTGGACTCCACCAACGTTGAGACGGCCTTCCAGACCATCCTGACAGGTCAGTACTGTGTTAGTCCTCAAACATCCCCACCCACGTCCAAACCTCGTGTCCATATGCACCCGTCACACTTTACAGTCTTATAAAATGTGCTCGAGTATCCACTTCCTCGACTTTTAACCCTTTAAAAACAAAACGGCCGACAGACGTTTAACATTTATTGAGGAAATGAGACAGTTCAGTGGTTGTTCTTGTTCCAGGTGTTTTTATTATCAGTGCTCAGAGCTGACCCGGTTTATGAGTGTGATTACAGCGAAAGGGAAGTCAGGTGGCGACTGAACTTCTGTTGCTGGGCAGAGATACAAACACACCAGACAGCTGAGTTATCTTTATTACGTAATGTTGCTGAATGGCTTATCGTTGAGGAGTGGCAAACCTTTTCATCGGAAGTGAGACGACCAACTGCAAAGATATTACTGTAGTGTTTTTTACCTGCTGGTGCCTGTACACAATCTGTATAATTGTCTGTCTGTGCTGTAACAGTATGAAAACAGCCTCCCCAGAACCAGATATCAAAACTGTTATGGACTCAGTTTGGTGACATTTATACGACTAGTGCAGTGCCCGTAGGTAGTATGTATTGCTATAGAAAAGTGGGAGGTTCAGTAGCTTTTTCATGGATGGCCAAATGAGGTTGCTACAGACGAACATCCACAGATTCCGATTCCAGTTTGTTGTCCTCGCGTATCCGGATCTCCTCACACCGGAACAGACTCGGTCCGGACTCGTTCAGTCTCAGTAATCCCCAACGGTCAGTGTAGATGCACAGAACAGGACCGAACAGCCGGCAAAATCCGCTGCAGGTATAAAGCCGCTTGCGCCGCTGCGGTGATTGCCTCTGGTGCGCACGTGGCTACGGTGGCTATGGTTGACAATGCTAGCGGAATTTGTAAATCATTTATGAAATAATTTATTAATGGTATCTTTATAGTCCAAACAAAGCCGACGTTGCACACCCTTAAACCACACAGCAGCCATGTTGAAACTCTCAGGTCAGTCTGATCCTGATCTGCAGAGATATTTGAGCCACAGACAGACAGACAGACAGACAGACAGACAGAGATTTCTTGCTTTTATCGAGAGATAAGACTGGTATTATTCTGGATGTCCTTTTGTGGCCAAGAAATCCCACCAAAACAAATCAATAATGTTTTAGTCTCTAAGTACTTTGACTTTGTTGCTACTGAAGATGTAAATCTCTATAAAAGACAAATGTATAGTCTAATTTTAAAAAAAGGTTGGAAAACTTTAGGTTGTTTAATATCATTACCACTTTTTCTGTTATCATTTAAAAGGCGGCTGTTTAAATATATGAATTTAAATGATAAAATTAATATAAATGTCGACTATAAAAGTCTTTAGTCGGGGACAGCTCCAGTAATCTCCTAAAACAGCTGCTCACTGTAGTTTTTAATCAAACAAACTGCATTTGTTGGGCCCTACTTTCAGTGGCGGATTAGTCCACATTTGGTATTGTTGGGGCAGCAGGACGGTGTATGTGGGAGTTAAAATAAACTACAGTGTGTTCATGGTAAAGAAGAAACATGTCACCCAGTGCAACAGTTTCTAAGGCTCAGAGGAAGAAGATAAATCAGGCTACGATACACACAATACTCGATCGAACATTCACTGTTGGTTTCATCAGGCTAAATACACAATGGTTGCCTTTGGGCTGTTTCTTCTATCTGTTAAGTGGTAACAGGGTCAGTATGGACAACTGAGTAGAGATAATGATTAGTGGAGACAGGTCACATGACAGCAGAGGAAACGACACTTAAAAAATCCCACAGTGTCAGGAAAAGACAGCGATAAATAAAGAACTTTACACACAACAACTTAACATTTAATATCTCAGTATGTGGGTTTTATCTGTTACTAAGAGATATTAAAGGCTTTTTAAATCACTTCCCTCTTCAGTGCCTCAGATTGAACTATGAATTATAAACATGTGAGAACACTCAGAAATCATCTGAGCCTGATGCTGTTTTAGTTGAAGATATTTAAACATTTGCATGATTAGAAATGTGATTCTTTATCGCATTACAATCTGCTTCCTGTCACCTGACGCCCACAAGGAAGAAATGGAAAGAAAAAGTCACATTTGTGTCATTTAACAGGCTAAATTTGACTTTTTGAATTGTTTTTAGAAAGAAACACGGACAGCAGTAAACAGGCTGTAACTCTAAATAACACTGTTATTCTCGTCCCTCTCTCCCCCTTTCTCCCCCTCCCGTCAGAGATCTACCGTATCGTCTCCCAGAAGCAGATGTCGGAGCGTCAGGAGAGCGACATGTCCCCCAGCAACAACGTGGTCAACATCCAGGTGCAGCCCACTGAGAACAAACCAAAGATGCAGTGCTGTCAGAACATCTAGCCCCGCCACGGATCTGCTGCTACCCCCTCCTCCCCCCCTTTTTTCTCCCCCTCTTTCCACGGTCCTCGCCTCCCTGCCTCCCTCCTTAACCCCACCCCCCACCCCAGCTCACAGCTCCCGAAAGCCCGCCCTCAGATAATAGACTGCCTCAGCGTACTGTGTGGTGTGGGAGGGACGAGCCACAGCTTTTCAAGGCTGTGACCCGAACTCTGCACCTATCTGTACCTGCCTCCCCCCACCCAAACCCCCTTCCTCCTCCCCTCCCCTGCCCCAGGTAAATATATCCCAGTATAAGAAGTCACCGCGTGGGGTGGCCCCCCAAGCAGAGCCCCTCTGTCGTTAGGCTACTGCAGGACAGCAGGCAGCAGGCATTTCATATCACTTTAGATTTCATTACTGTAGATGCGCTGTCACAAAAATGTCTTAATATATGAATGTGATTCTGTTTTCTTCTCTTCATCCTTTGTGCTCATGTTGATTTCTCCACTTTTTTTTATGATATTTCTCTGTCTCGTATCATATATCTAACTACTAGGTATATATGACTTTAAAGCACATCAAAGTTGCTCCTATATACAAGCTTCTCCTCTCGTCATTTTAGCCCCCCCGCCCCTCTCCTCTTTAGTGCAATGTACTGTTTTTGGAAACCACGTTGGATGTACGGAGCGCAGCGTAGACGCGTGTGCTCCGGTAGTGTCATGCCATTTGATCTGATTGCTGTGAATACGACGCTAGTGAAACGTAGATTTGCAAATTTGCCGAGCTTCAGTTAGCGCAGCAGGAAAAAAAAGGTTTGGGTGTGAGCTTGCATGCAGCGCGCCGCCTCGCGAGCGCCGTGGTGGTCACCGTGTTTACAGCAGGTGGCAGGTTGGGGCCAGCTTTGCATGTCTTTAAAAAGATGGCACTCTGCTGTGCTGCATGTTTTAATCAGGTGAAAGACTCAACCTGGACTCTATGTTGGAACACTATCATTGCCTTGAAGGGTGTGTGATTATTATTATTTTTGTTGTTTGTTTTTTTTAAGGCTGTCACCGTGAAAGCTGAACACAACTCCTGTACATTTTCATGTTGTCCCTCTTTAAGTCTGAGTGGCGTCATACAGAGGAAGTCACGCTTCTACTGAGAAGGATTTTCTGATGGAAGATTAGTCCGTTAAGGCTTTCCCTGCTCCAACATTAGGAGAACAGTATGCATTCATTTTTGACATATTTGACTACAACTATGCAGAAACTAGCACATGGCTGTTTGGATTTTGTTTTCTTAGTGCACTTCTATAGCAAATGAAGGAATTAAAATACAGCAAAAGTATGAGTAACTGAGGTAGTATTCTCGTATGACATTCTTATGATACTCAATAATATTATAATCGAAACTCTCCTGTTGTCTAGCAAATTATGCTTAGCATGTAACCACAGAACTGTAGTTAGGATGCACTGAGAAAGAAGTAAATGGAAATTGTCTTTCACCCACGAGGTTGGATTTCATGAGCGTGTCAAACTCTTGCACTGATCCTTAATAGTTGATCTAGTAAACATGCTTTCTTGTCTAGGATTAGATTTTTACTGCACATTGAGAATCTGGACCTGTTTTCTCAGATTGGATGGACCGTTTTTTTTTTTTTTTTTTAAGACGGAGCCACTCTTCAAAAAACCAAAATATGTAAAGTTCAGCACTGCAGAACATGTGCTGAGTCTCCAGAGTCTTTCCTTCAATCCCTCTAACTGACAGAGAAGTTTCTCACCCGGAGGAAAAACTCGTGGGATTCAGCCACATTCTCGCTAACTTCTGGTCACAGTGCCTCCTTCACCACGCGTACCTGTCCGAAAACGCCTCTCATTCACCTGCTAACAACTCACCACCATACCCACCTCCTCCTTAACCCATAACCCTGCTCGGTCTGTCCCTCGAGGAGACAGACGGCTGTGTTGTCCCCCGTCACATTAAGCCTACGTACACCGAGCTGCCTCTGACTTTCAACACAATGCATGGCTTTCTGTACGACTGCGACTCCACGTCGTATCGCCTTACTGTATGTAGCTAACATTGTCATTACTGTCCATATTGGTTAAATCTGCTGAGGGTTAGGCTCGGCTAGCTAGGATGACATTCTTAACAAGCTCATCGTTTGTGCCCAGTCCAGTCAGTGAACTGACCGACGCCTCGCTAACAACCTACTTGCTAAAACTCCCCGAGTGTGTGTTCTGTCGCAGGTTATAGTGTCAGTGTGTGACGGTGTTAGCAGACACATACGATGCCTGCACTTGGTGTGTGTGTGTGTGTGTGTGTGTGTGTGTGTGTGTGTGTGTTTAGAGGCAGAGGGTAGATCGGTAGCTCTGGAGCGAGCGAGCCTGGCTGGCAGTGCCAATGGCGTTTTTTTTGTTGTTGGAACAGACGGCGCCGCCAGCCGAGCGTCTCCAGACTCACTAGCTGGCAATCTGTTGAAGAAGTGATTCCTTTTTTCTGAAAATATGATTTCTGATCCTGTTTCACGTACCTCCATTGTTCTGTGTTTTTTTATTTTAAAGTGTGTTTTGATTATTTCTTTTTTTTTACTATATTGAATTCTATAACTGACTGTAATTCCAGTGTAAACGTGTAAGAGTGAAATGATGTCATTTCAATGAATTTGGAGAGTTAAATGTGAGAGGGGGGTCAAAATGAATGGTTTTATGTTTTGTACAGATTGATAAATTGTACAATTGTGTCTATATCTTAAGTTATCAGTTCATCTTAATAAAGCGCACCAGTCATAAACCTTTACACGAGCTCGTATTTTACTTGTTACATCATCTGGTTCAGTGGTTCCCAACCTGGGGGTCACTAAAGGTGTTAGAAAACTTAAAACCTACTTATACACAGTAGGCCTGTATGTCAACATTTCTGTCATTAAGGTTTTGATTATTATTTGATATATAAAGTTTGAAGACCTGAACTCAAGTTATATTCACAGAGCTATCACTCTCTGATAACCGGCCTCGTCCTGCATTAGAAAACACAGAAGAGCAAATAACACTGAATTTGTCAAAAAATAAGCTTTTTGAGTCTGTTTGATTATTAAAAAGTCATCAGTTGTTCTCTGCTGTTATTAAACACTGAATATAAATGAAATATCCATCCTTTTACTCAATGATGGAAATAGTCACCAGGCCTTTTTTCCTATATCTGAGCATTAGGTTGAAGAAAAGTAAATTAAATTGTCTAATAGAACAACGGCCAAGCGTTTGGGACAAGGAAACACTGAATTTGTCAAAAAAAGAAAAAAAAAGCCTATTAAGTCTGTGTGATTGTTGAAAATGATAAAATCCATAATACAGACAGAGGATTGTATAAAAAGTTCCCTAAAAAGGAAATAATCAGCTCAAAATTCATTCAAATCTCTCGTTTTATACAAACATCTTGCTGTTTCTGAGTTAATTATTTAGAGTTATTGTACAGTTTTTAATATAATATTAAATATCTACACACTGAGTCAGTTTACTAAATGTAAAAAAAAAGGGTCTCTGGAGGAAAAAGGTTGGGAACCAGTGCGTTAGAAGACCTTTCTCACACAGGACATTTTGACACGTCACAGTAAAAAGGTATAAATAATTAAATGAATTAGCTTCTTCAGTTTCTCCTGTTATGGTTTACAGGAACTACTCACCCCCACTCCTACACAGCTGTCCCATGAAATAGAGGTTTATCTCTTACTGGAATATGACTGAGTGCCTGACTAAGAGATTTTTTATTTTTTTGGGGGGGGTTACGAGAATAAAGTCGTAATATTGTGAGAATAAAGTCGTAATATTTCTCGTAATTTCCAAAAGTTTATTTATTATTTTTCCTCTTAGTATGGCCCTAATACTCCGTCATAACATCTGTCCTTTTCCTACTGTTACAAGTTAAAACATCTCTTTTAAAAAAGGTCTGTTGTCGTCTTACAGGCTCTGCGCACTTATTAGAGCTCGTCCGGTGACTTCATGTGCACCCGTCGCTCTGCTCTCCTTCCACCTGAGCAGAGGTCTCATCAGCCAAAACAGCTGCTAAACACCGGTGGGGGTCTGCGGCGCTTTCAGGTGTTACACAACCTGACTGACCAATCACACTTGAGGACATTATTCTGATTAATTAGCTAATTTAGTGGCGCTTTATCTGGTGGCTGCTGTACTTTCACAGTAATTTCCTGAAAAGAGGACTTTTGTAATTTGGTACTAATTAAAGAGAAACCAGAGATAGAGACAGTACACAAAGTACCCACTCATTAATTTGAGTCAATTATACAGCACACAGTTAATAGAGTTGGGTGGAATTTATAAGCTGTTGTTGATTTGAGGCATTTCTTTGTACAAACTGCTTTTAATTAGGTCGGTCACAGATAATAGTTTATTTTCTTCTATGAATAGTTTTGTCCATAAAATGTACAGAAAGAGAAAAGTGGCCATCACTGTTTACTAAAACCATCTTTAAATGTCTTCTTTTGTCCAACCAACAGTCTAAAATCAGCAAATCAGCTGGAATCTGAGAATCTGCTTCATAAATAATCAACTGTTTATCAAAAGTTTGGCCAATTAATATTCAGTCAAAATCATTTTAGCAACTAACTGATAAATTGTGTTTCAGCTCTGATAACAAACTGATTTCCATTTAAACCAAATTATTCTTTTACTGTTGGAAATGATTGTTTCCTTTCAGAACTACACTGAAATTATTATTATTATTTGATTTTCAGCTGTTTAATTAACTGCAAGTGTAATAATTTGGCACATTATCTCTAATTTCTTTATAATTAGTAAATCAAGTGTTCCCATTAACATGTTTATATTTGCTAAGTATTGCTCAACGAACAGTACAGCTGAGGCTGATGGGAATGTCATTAGTTTAGCAGATATTTGGTCATAAACCAAAGAAAAAAGACCTGATGATGGTGTAAATGTACCTTTACTTTGGGTCCATAAGGAGCTTACAGTAATACACTGTAATAATAATAATAAATCAGAGTTCACAGACAACAAGGTGAGTTGCAAAATGTTCATTAACTTAAATTTGTGGGCGATAATTCACAACTTTAAAATAACACCGTGTGGTTCTAAAGGCTTTTACAAACCGGGAGATTAATTAACATCAATATATTTATATATTTTTTAATTGTTGATCAATGGTCGATGGGTCAACGTCGATTTTTCTGAACTCGCACTGTAAATAAATGCATCAACCAATAACACCGTGAAGAATGAAGTCTGGTCACAACTCATGGCAGTCATGTTGTTTCTCATCCCCCTGTATTATATGATGTGTTATATATAAACGAACATTATAAGGACAATAGATAGATAGATAGATAGATAGATAGATAGATAGATACTTTATTTATCCCGAAGGAAATTCAAGCATCCAGTAGCAGCATACAAACATACATTAAAATTAAAATGAACCTATAACACAGTAGTCGTACATTAAATTTAACTGGAAATGAAACGTGCAGGTAAATTAAGTGTGACAAAAAAGAGCTGACGCCTCCGTACAGACTGCAGACTGGAAACTGAAGCGGTTGTGAGTTGCTACTCTGCCGTTTCCTCGATTAGTTTTGTTGAAGAAAACTTCACCCAGGTTCCAGATTGAAGAAAATAATCTTTACTTTAGCTTCAGAAGAATACAGATGATGAGCATTCATGCAGCGAAAGAGAAACGCACATCCAGGTTGTATCAGTACTTCTCACACGAGTCTGTCTGAGCCGATTTACAGAGGTTAAAAAACATCTGGGCTGGAACAAAAGGTTTCACTCACCAGGACCCGTTAATGTAAAATAGATTGACTCATTACAGAGCTCACCGTCATGTTGGAAAGCAGTGACAGGAAACAGGAAACACAATATCAGGATAAAATACAAATAAAAGTGTTTAGATAATACATTTTTCTTCAGCAGTGTGTTAGTGGGACTCTTTCTGATCCTAACTGACCGGACTGGAGCTCCAGGACCGGCCCAATGTGTGTGGATTCAATATTTTATTCTAATGTTTTGTTACTGCTTCCAGTATGAAAACATATTCGCAGTATTTTCACATTTCTGTAAAGGCCTCTGATGTCTGTGACCCTTTCACAATGTGTGTATCACCACCCTACCACCAGGTGGAGTGTGTGAAGAGTCACCTGTGGGCTCCAGGTAGAGCCAGGCTGGGGGGGGGTCGCCATCAACAGCAGGAGAGGCTCTCACTCTGACCACAACACCTGTTTAATGCAAACCAGACCTTTAAGTAACAGTTATACTAAAGCACAACAACAGTCATATACAGTATAATAACATGTCCTTACGTTACTCTCTCAGTAAATAAACAACTAATAACATTAGTAATAACAATATGGCAGTATGCATGTTACATTACATAAATCACATCAAACCTTTATCCCTTATTAGTCACAATACAATAATAATGGTTGTATAATGATATAATAATAAGATAATGTCTTCACATATAACAATGTACAATTCTTTTAACTATTTTCAACAACAAGGAACGAGCCATTCACACCGAATCTGTGCCGTCTGTCTCCGTCCCGAGGACATTTAATACCTAAATGTGAATGTAAACTATCTGTATAATAAATGATATTATTAAGAAAAGTCTCCTTCACTTTGTTCTAATTGCAGTTTAAAGATACATCATATAAAACACTGAAACAGCCCGTCCCCACTGTCTAACACTGCACCATCAAATATAATGATTCCTTCAGAAATCTTAGTTTTGTTTTATTGTGTGACTCTTATTTCCAGTTTAGATATCAAATACCTTTTTTAATTGATATTAACATGTCAGCAGGTTTTCACTCAGTCCTGTTGGCCTTAACTTCTCTCACTTCATTATCTGTATTCATATATAAATATATATATATATATATATATATATTTATATATATTTTAGAAGACCTACCAATGGCTGGAAAAGGCTGGACTCAGAGACAGCACAGAGGCACTGATCATGGCAGCACAAGAACAGGCCCTAGGTACAAGAGCCATAGAGGCCAAGATCTACAAGAGTAGGACTAACCCAAGGTGCAGACTATGCAAAGATGCCTCTGAGACAGTCCAGCACATAGTAGCAGGGTGTAAGATGCTAGCTGGTTCAGCGTACATGGAGAGACACAACCAAGTGACTGGAATAGTGTTCAGGAACATCTGTACCCAGTATGGAATAGAAGAACCCAAATCCCAATGGGCCGCACCACAGAAGGTGACTGAGAACAACAGGGCCAAGGTGCTGTGGGACTTCAGCTTCCAGACTGACAAACAGATCCTGGCCAACCAACCAGACATAGTGGTGGTAGACAAGGAGCGGAAGAAGGCGGTGGTGATAGATGTGGCCATACCAGCAGACGCCAACATCAGAAAGAAGGAACACGAAAAGGTTGAAAAGTACCAAGGGTTGAAAGAACAGCTGGAGCAGATGTGGAAGGTCAAGGCGAGCGTGATCCCCGTGGTAGTAGGAGCACTCGGGGCAGTGACCCCCAAACTGGGGGAGTGGCTCCAACAGATCCCAGGAACAACATCAGAAGCCTCAGTCCAAAAGAGCGCAGTCCTAGGAACAGCTAAGATACTGCGCAGAACCCTCAAACTCCCAGGCCTCTGGAAGAGGACCCGAGCTTGAGGATGACACACCGATACCACCCCAAGAGGGTGAGAGGGAAGTTTTATATATATATATATATATTTAAAGGTGTTTTCATGATATCAGCACTGACGCCATGTGGGAACAAATGGGAAATCCTCCATTTAGAAACCGTGTAATAAATAAACACAATGTTGAATAGTTAAAACGTGTTATTAGATACAATGCTACAAATGATTAATTTTAATTTTAATAATTAAGTTTAATTTATAGCGCTGTGTGCTGGCAAGAATCTTGTACTGTGATACTGGGGTTATGATATATTATCAATATATCGTAATTTAAAAAAATATATAATAGGGAAATTGTCACAACATGAATAAAATCTGAGTATAAAAAGTGTTTTAATACAACCAGACCAATGGATCTGAATTTGTATTCATCTCAGTCCCTGTTAAAGCTGCAGTTGGTCATTTTTATTACTATTACATAATAATCAATAATAATTATTATTAGTAGCCACTGTGAGGAACCAGAGGATAGATAATCTTTTTCACAGATTATCTGTCTCATGTTTTACTGTCAGGATGTTAGGGCTGGGTATTGTTAAGAACCTCACAATTCGATATCGATTCGATTTGATATTGATTTAAATGCTCCGATATCGATTCAGTGCCGACTTCAACGACTCCAACTCCGCTGTCTTTACCTTTTGTGTAAAGCTTCGGGACGGCGACTTCCGTCATGTGTTTGCGTGTTGGTATGGCGTATCGTGGTTCCAGTGTTCCAAAGGAAGGATCTGTGGAGTTTAACTTACTGTTGTCTATTTCCTGTTCTGGGTTTACGCTGGAATCCAAACGTCTGCTTTTAAAGTTGAAGTTGCTGGTTTAACACTGCTGCTACCTGCTTCGGTTGCCATGTTGTTGTTGTTGTTGTTGTTGTTGTTCTGTGGTCGAGTGCAGCCTCCGTCCGTACAACGCAAATCACACAGGTGTTGCTCACTGCGCCCCCCACTGGCCAGGAGCTTGAATCGATTCAGAGGATTTCATGAATCAATATTGAATTGGGAAAAATATATTGCCCCCCCCCACAAACATCAGAGTCAACAACAAACAACTACAGTGTCACTACATCTTCACAACAACTCAATAAACAAACAAACAACAGCAAACAGCTAGCGACGTTAGCATCATACTGCTAGCTTACCGAGATAGATGGAAACGGGGAAAACGGGACTTTGTAAGTTCCCGGTTGTTTCTCCGTAGGTTTCCTTTTTGGTCTGTAGATACATTAAATTGTTAATAACAACTTTTTAAAGCTAAATTAATGTTTTATTGTCGCCATATTGTCGCCTCACGGCAGCACGCCTCCTCTCTGGGACCCAGTGCGCAGGTGCGTAGCCAGCTGTCAATCAAGTTCAGCTAGAGGCGGGACTTAAGCAGAGTAATTTCTGAGTGTCTGATCAATCCCTGCTGATCAATAATGGTAACCAAGGTTGGGAGGGTTACTTTAATCAGTTACCTAAACCATATCACGATATTAAAGTAATGTAACTTGATTACTTTTTATCACTTTAGGACGGATTACATGTAACTACGATAAGTAATCAGGATACAATAAAAGATAACTAATTCATCACAGTTACAGAAAAAATATGTAATCAGATTACAGTTGCATTAAGTGAAAATGGGGATTATTAGCAGGATTATAATTTTATAATACATCAGTTTTTCTTAAAAAATACACTGAGCAGAGTAAATAATTATTATTTACTGTACTTTTGAATCACCTCAATGATTAATTTAATTAATCAGTAATTACAATCATCGCTCTAGAGAGCACGTTCCCTAAAAAGTGCGATCGGAGTCGTTCCCACGTTGACAGGAAGGAACTTTAATACGTGAACAGAAAAAGAGCTGCTGTGTAATGAGACACGACGCCACTCTCCTGAGCTATAACAACTTTATTGAGTCTGAAACAAAAAGACCAACAAGCAGCACTCGATACATCTACTGGAGCTGAAACTATTATTTGGATCGAAGCTGAAGAAAAGACATACAAGCAAGATAAAGTCAGAGCAAATGGAACAAAAGTAGGGAACCAAGTACATGGGGGGGGGGGCAGCTGTTTTACATCTGATTGTCAACATGTCCTGTTATTGCTGTTTGCCAAGATATAATTAACACAACTGACCTGTGTGTCATTGAAACATTAAACAGGATTTCATACATTACGGCTCTATTTCATCAGTAATGTCAGAAATAGTTGCAAGTATTGAAATCTGAGACGGTCATTGGCCTTTTTATGGAAAATACTTCCACTTTAGACCTCGCTGGAACAAATACATCAATAGGCATCTAATCTGATAATTGATTAAAAGGTCCAGTGTGTAACATTGAGGAGGATCTATTGTCAGAAATATAATATTATAATATTAAGGTGTGTGTTTGTTACCTTAGAATGAGACGTGTTTATCTACAGAGTCTACAGTTTCTCCTTCGTGCTCAGACGGCGAGAGTGAAGGTGCCATCTGCAACTACACCACTAGACGCCACTAAATCCTACACACTGGTCCTTTAACATTTTTGTTGTAGTCCTTTAGAGATTCTTACGTTCTCGTTTTAAAATTGCACAAATGTGTAGCCATTACACATCAAATACGTTGTTTCTTTTTTACTTTTCGTTATCTATAATGCGCGTCATAAGTTACGTTAGCTTTCCTCTTGAGTTTGCCAGACTTCAATAGCGGTGGCTGCTAGTCTTGAGTCTCCCTATCTAGGCTAGCTATGGATTAAAATAAACAATAATAATAATAATAATAAATAATCAAATATAAACAAAGGATGTGGTCGGACACATGTGCAGGCAGCTGTGGAACGATGTCAGCGAGTTTTAGGAGTTAGTTTGGAGGGATGAACTGTAACTCTCATCCATCCTGATGTAAACGTTTGCCTAAATTTCCTCAGTCACCTTCGACTTTTCTTAATGTCAACAAGTTTCTCCTGACAGCAAATCTAATGTACAGCCAGTCACTGGATAGTGTTGAACGTCTGACCTTCTGTACATGCTCTCACTTAAATACCATGTTCTGAAATCTACAACATAAACCAATTCATTTTTATGTTTCATTAATTAACAAAAAACCCATCTAAACAGCATTTTAAGATAATTATAAATATTAGATTGTAATGTGGATGGAATAATGGAATTAAACATGACTTTTCTTTGTTTTTATATATATATAATTCTTTGACAAAAATGGCTCATTCTTTATAGTAAAGGTCGCTGATTTCTGTCTACATGCTACATTGGAAGGCGAGGGGTATTCAGTTGGTTGCAATCTGCAACCCCACAGCTAGATGCCATTAAATGCTACACACTGGACCTTTCAGTCAGTGGTTCCCAATCTCTTCTTTAGGGACGCCTTTTCTATCATTTAGTGATGTATTTTATGGATATTTCATATTATATTGAAAACTGTACAATGAACCTAAATAAGGAACTCAGTAACTGAAGAAATTTGTGTAAAATTTGTGAATTGGATGAAGTTCAAGCAGATTATTTCCATTGTAGATTGTTTAGGGAACTTTTTATACAGTCTTCTGTCTGTATTATGTATTTTTTAAATTATTTTTAACAATCATACAGACTTAAGCTTCCTTTTTGACAAATTCTGTGTTTTCTTGTTCTTGCCATTGTTCTACTAGACAATTTAATTTACTTTACATTTACTTTTCTTTACTGAAGTTTTCTTTCAAGCTTTAAAATCAAAAGGTCCTCGTGACCCTGAGGTTGGGAACCGCTGCTCTGAGGGGCAAAAATGTCTTAAAGTTTTGAACTTTTGATCAGACAAAACATCTTTTGGACATTAGATTTGATTATTTTTCACTACTTTATGACATTTATCAGCCAAACTATGAATCAATTAATTGAAAAAACAATCAGGTTAATCAGTAATGATTGGAGATTGGAGTTAATCCCATGTTGACACAGTCAGTTGACAATAATCAGTTTGCACCAAAGGACATAATAAAGGGTATTCCTGGCTAACTATTATATCTTGAATAATCTTTGGCATGCATGTGTATTAAGCTTGACACAACAAAAGAAAACCACAATAATAATCACTAGTGTACAGTAAGTGTACAGCCAATACACCACTCTGTCTACAGTACATACAAAAAGATAACTTTACAAAGAGAAAATATGGATCCCCGGCAGGATCTTTAAATATGTAAACAGGAAATAAGAAACGATGTGTAAAAATACCAGAACTATACAGGTAGTGTAAATCTGACCAGACTGCAGTTTGTGTGCATTTATTCACAGATTGTCCCTTTTTTGGGGAGTTTATCAGAGTAATGAGCACCTTTTCTCCGGAGCTACAGGCCGTAATGCCCGTCTTCTTTGTACAAGTTGGCAGATCCACGTAATCCAGGTGTGACGTGGACCCCAGTCTTGTCTTTGGATCCCATTTTTCAGTTACAGAAATTTACATCAGTTAAGTTGTTTTTCCACTCGTCCTCGACTTTACATCTTCTCTCCCAGGACGTATCAAAGAAAAAAGACAAAGAGATCCGCATACCAAGAAAAAAAGGTATACTTGTGTGCATACGTACGTGTATATTCCCTCTATTGACACTTTGTTGATGAGGGGGAATTTACAATACAACACAAATATGTAGTATTGACTGGCACGAAAACAGTTTGGATATAATACAGTGATAAAATATCAAACAGCAGTGCAACAGTCGGAGCACTGCAAGAAGGAGATTCTCACCTCTTTCACAATAAATAAATAAAGTTGTCTTTATGTCCTTATGGCCTCTGAATGTGCGCTCAGTGTAACGACCAAAAAAATTCACAATTTCCTGATTCTGACTGAACTGGGAGCAGTGGTCCAGTGTCCAGTCTGGGTGCTGGGTGAGGCTGTTGGGGTCTAGAGCAGCGAGCTGGTGGGGCTGCCGGGCAGCGGGGGGCTGTGGCTGTGCATGGTGAGGCTGTGGCTGTGAGAGGGGCTCGGGCGCATGGGCAGCAGGTCGTAGTGGCTGGGGATGTGGCTGTTCCTGGGCAGGTCGTACGGGTTCTGAGGGTAACTGGGAACCACCATGCTGCCAGCTCCCTGGACGATACTGATGGTCGGTTCTGGGAGGAAGAGAGGAGAGGAACGTATTCAAGTAGTGCCGAAATGATTTAGTTCATTGATCACGGACAATAGGAGACACGAGTTAAAGCTTCCATATGTTACATTCTGAAGCGTTTTACATGTTATTTTTTATTTATGAATCACTTTTTATTGCAAATGTATGAACGGATCGTAACATAACAAAAAAATTAGACCTGCCCCGACTTCTTCAATTGCCTGTGGGCTGGTTTACACAGATAATGTAGTTTTAACGAGTACTAAATGAGTCATTATCCATAATTATATGTAGTAATTATAGAAACTTTTATTTGAAAAAAGTATATAACTTAAATAGTTCTCTTACTCTTGTGATCAAAAACATTGCTCTGAAGCTAAATTCTGTATATTTCTTATTATTTTTCAACACGACTTCCAATCAACCCATATCAATTAGTTAAATTAATCACTTCCGTCTTAAGCCACGCCCATTCTGAGTACGGATACGAATACCGATAGTTAAGTTGGTTGAACAGATACGGATAAAGGTGTACACTGTTTCTATGTAGGGATGACAGTCAGATTTTCCTCTAAAGGTTGTGACGTTGATGTGCGCCTTCTCTCTCTGCTTCCTTGTGCAACGCTAGCTAACGTTAGTTTATAAATAGAGTCCGCAACAGGACGCTGACTGCAGTTCACTTAACGGCCACTGGTGTCACTATTAACAACGTTTACAGAACATTTAAAAAGCCGGACTGGTGCCCCCTCCGACCTCCAACGTACCCATGTCGTAGACATTCTTGGCGGGCGCGGCGGTGGTGGTCGTGGTCGTGGTGATGATGGCGGCGGAGCAGCAGTGTGTCATGTGTTCATGGTGAGCCGGCGATTTCATCTCCACGTAGCTGCTCTCTGAGTGCTTACACAGGCCGGGCGGGTCATTGATGGTCGCGTACGGGTTTTCACTGTTGAGGGAGCACGTGCTGGACAAGGAGCCCTTCATGTAGTCTAAAAGATAAAGAACACATGGATCAGGTAACCTTCTGCACTGAGAAATAATGGCTGTCTGACTCGTGAAGCATCCTCGTCAGCGGCTGAACTCCTGTTGAACTCAGCAGTAAAGCTCAATATACTCGAGAGGCTGCTGTAACTCGGTGAAGGTCTGTTGCTGATATACTGCTGCTGATCCAAAACCCTCAGTTACACATTATATTATTTATTTAACAATATTCTTCTCCTTCCCAATGAAAGGTTATAAAACTATTCTTGAGGTGTCATATGTGAAACATTTTCTGGGAGAAGTGTGAATTAAACTGGGTTACCACAGTGAACAATCCCATGTGTGATAATGGAGGATTATCAACAGGACTACGTTCACACTGCAAGCCTTAATTCTGATTTATTGGTCAGGTCTGAAGTCTGAACCTGGTCTGAACTGAGCCGCATGAGAACAGTAACAGACGTCACACGCATGAACAGATGATGACGAGGACGGAGAGAAACAGAGTCTGAGTGTCACCCCAAAGTTATTTTATAAACTGCTTTAAGAAGGTACTCAAAGGCGCTTTACGACAACATATAAACATTTCTTTTTCAACAGAAACCGAATATCAAGAAAAAAAACAACTATTATATGATTAATGGAAAAAAGGATTCAAGCGGATGTGGAGCTCCAGATGAGGAAACTCATTTAAAAAAAGGTTGATAAACCTAAAAGTTTACTTCAGTTGACTCCATAGCTCTCTCACAGTCCAACGGGTAACTAGCTAGCAAGCTTACGGACAGTAAACGGCATCAAAACAGGAAATATTTAAACTGCTGTTTGCGTCTAAAAAGAGAGCAGCACTTTCGCTGGTAACCTTGTGTGTTGAGAAATAATTGCTCTGTGACTCATGTGAAGCATCCTTGTCAGTGATTGAACTCCTGTTGAACTCAGCAGCGACGCTCGATAAACTGAAGAGGCTGCTTTATTTATGTGTCCCTCCACCCACTACCTCCACCGCAGCGCAGAACAATGACCACTGTCGATCTACAGTGACGTTCAAGACCTGTATCGAAATATAAGACAGAAAATGAAATCAGATTTCATGTGCGACTGTTTACACTGTCATTAAAAAATAGATCTGAGATAAAGAAATCAGATTTATGGCTGCAGTGTGAACGTAGCCTTTAAACACTGAAACTGACTCCGTCTAACATTTCTGTAGATTTTAGAGGATTAGACTGGTGTTAGTCCAGATCTTCTCTAATTTGTCAAAGCCCACCAAACTTTTGAAATAAAGTTTTTGTGGTTCAGTAATTAAAACTGTAGCTTTTATCCAACAAACAGGAGGAAATTGTGCATTTGTTGGGGACTATTTTCAGCAGCGGATTAATCCACATTTGGTGCTGTAGTGAGTATTTTGATGCAGTAACGTAGTGTATGTGGAATTGAGTCCAAAAACATTTATATTCCAACAATGGCTACTGTAACAGCACTTATTAGTAGGATACGTTCATTGTTTTTGGTCTTTTCATGGGATTTGTTGTCACCAGATTGATCCTTTAAGAAACACACATACATTAAAGTCATCACTGCATCACTGGACAACATTTAAAAACCAACATCAACATTCAAAAGCAGTTCAGGTTAAAATCTGTGAAGCTGGAGCTGAAGGAATTACACATATCAGGTGACAGGAGAACACACAGCATTCAGTTATTGGGCGGGAGAGATTCTCTGAGGTGAGTTTTGGGGAGTGATGGGGGTCAAAGCAGGAGGAGGACCCCCCCACCCACCCACCCGGAGGAGAGGGAGAACACACAGAGGAGAGGAGTCGGATTCATCCTGCAGAGACACAAACACACCTGTAAGCACCGGTTCGTACATATCAGCAACATGAAGAGGAAGATCAGCATTCAGGTACAGGCTCGGATCTGTGAGGTCATCCTCTCTAACCTACATGTACACTTTAAAGGTTTTATATATATTTATATATATATATATTAGATTTAAGACATAAATACAGCACTGAGACTCACCTTCTGCTGTTTTTATCATCTACCTCTCTGAATTAAGGATTTATTTCCCTCAAACCAGAGTTGGTGATTGTTGGAAAAGTGGAAAGATTAACAAGACTAACTGTCTTAATGAGTTTTATTCTGTTTCTGTCCACTTTGAATGACGTTACGTTGATCTGAAGGTAAAACGAGTGTTTGTGTCTCTGGAGTCTGGTGGAGAGTGATAGTGATATTACGGCTGTTTGTGGTTAAACTAAAGGTCTATCTCTGTAGGGATCCTTTCCATAATGCTGTCAGACACTGACAATAACAACCTGAGTCTGTCAGTGGCAGAAACTACTACTGTTAGTGGAACAAACAACTACTACTGTCAGTGGTTGACTTTGAACAACAAATCTGTCTCCAATGATTAACGCTAACAGCTCTTTTCAGGAATATTTTCTCATCCAACTGATGAATTAAGAGTTTATTTCCACCAAACCAGAGTTGGTGATTGCTGGAAAGACTAACAGAGACGGTTTTGGTGAGTTTTATTCTGTTTTTGTTTACTTTGAATGAAGTGATGATGTTACGATGATATTCAAGGTAAAATTACTGTTTATTTCTATGGAGTCTGGTGGAGAACAACATAATGGCTGTTTCTGTCTGTTTCTCTGTAGGGATCCTTTCCATAATTATGTTGATGTGAATGTAACTCTCTTTACCTGCTTATTATTTTGTTATTATTTTGTTCCTGATTTAATTCTTTAGTGCAAATGTAGTTTTGCAAGAATTTAAATCAAATCTAATTTTACATTTGGTCAAAAAAAAATGTTTTATGTGCAATTTGCAGATAATATTAATTAAAATGTTTCTGTCTTTTGTGGTTAATATTCCTTCTATGTAAGTCACTAATAGACAGGTGCAGTGAGGACTGCAGCCACCTGTACCTGTGTTTCAACCATATCCTGTCACATTTTATCAGATTCTGTCTGTCTGCTGCAGCGACTGTCTGAACCTCAGAGCGCCGTCTCGTGTTACATGGGACATGCAGCGATCCACATCCGGTCTGACTTTCAACACAGGGACCAGCAACATGAAGCAGAGGGGTTCAAAATGCAAGAGAGGCAGTCTTTGGCTGAAGGGGGACTGTTCGAGCAAGAGGATCAGCTGGGTTGGGGGGTGTCAGAGGCCCGGTCCACCTCGCACTGTACCTCTGTAGCGCGGCTCCACGTGGTAGCTGTACCGCCGGTCGATGCAGTAAACACCTGCAGATAAAGCAGAGAGAAACGGTCCACGTCTGCTTTCATGTTCTCAGATTAGAATAGAATAAACTTTATCTGACTTTATGGATATTTCATACGATATAAAACTGTACAATGAACCCAAATAGTGACTCAGTGACTCAGGAAGCTCAGACTGACCCAGTTCACTGAGGTTACAGTAGGCCCCCCACTCTGGAGCACTGTTCCTGTGTCGCTTCTTTATCTTCATCTGGAAAACACACAGAGAATGATTTCACCTTAGAAAACACATTTTTAAAGAAATGATGTGCCTTTATTATTTTTTAAATACCTGGAAATATTAATAGATTTACAAAAATAGCCTTATGTAATAAAAACAATAATGTTTAATGTAAAATAACATGAAAAATAGAAAAAATAAATCTGCTATGCTATAATTCCTTTGCAGATATTTACTGTTTATTTAATAAATAGATTAACAGATTGTTAAATTCAAGTTTAATACTGTTTATATGTTTATTAAATTATGTAAGTAATTGTTCTGTAATTTTACATTTGTTTGTTTGTTAACAGATATCTTGTATAATTTTGAAAGTTTTCACAACAAGAACGTTAATAAATGTTTATCAATGTATAAGCAGGTAAACTGTTAAAATACAGTTTTTATCAGTAAAAACAGCAACAATTACTGTAATTTCACAGATAATGAGTTTTATTACAATTCGATAACTTTTAAAATTTGGCTTAAAAAGCCAAACAATTAGAGAGAAAAACATTAGGCTGAAAAACTGTATTGTAATCATAAAAAATTACTATTAATTGTATGAGTGAACTTATTGTTATAGGAAGACTAGCGACCACTTTGTGGACGCTAACAGAGATCCAGTTTAAGAATAAAGAATAAAGAATAAACATCCTGCAGCCCAAACTAAGTGTTAACAAACAGAGTTTTCCTCCAGTCAGAAGGTCCTTGGACGCACCTTGGCGGAGCTCCTCTTGTCTGGCTTGGCGTAGTGAGCGGCGTAGGTGCAGGGCCCCAGGGTGCGGTAGCTGGGGTTGGAGAAGCAGCGGCCTACAGTGCTGTTACTGGGAGAGGACTCTGCAGAGGAGAGCAGACCTGCACACTGCAGCCCTGCTGTCACCACACGACATCAGCACAGGTTCTTACATCCTCCTCCTCCTCTACTCATCACCATCACACACATACATGTGCACACGCAGCGCACCTGAACACCTCACGCAACGTATCTAAGCACTGAATACTGCTAGAAAAGTAAAATGTAGGAACTCCAACTGGAACCGAGAGGAGGAAGTTCAGGATTCATGGTTATAGAAGATTAAGAGCAGCACAGACTCATATTCTCAAACAGTGTAGATCAACAGAACATTAATATACAACAGCTTTTCAAATCGATTAATCGTTTGTCATTTATCAACCAAAATATGCCACATATTTGCTCCTTTGTAGCCTTAAAATGAGATCATTTGCTGCTTTTCTGTGTTTTATATCAGTGGTTCCCAACTTCCTTTCCTTCAGGGACTTCAAGTGACATATTTTATTGATATTTCATATTAAAAACAACGAACAGTGGACCCAAATAGTGAACTCAGTAACTGCAGGAAGTTTGAGTGTCACATAAAGCTGACCACCGTTTGTTGTGTTGTCCTGTGTTGTCAAGAAAAAGTCCTGAAAAAAATGATTTATTAACCTGATTATAAACTGAATATCTTTCACCTGTTGGTAGATAAAACAAACAAATCACTTGTGTTTTGATTAATGGAAATAATAATCAATAATCAGTTCCAGTCCTGGTTCGGGTCCAGTCTGCCTGAATGTGAGGAGAGAACAATCAGAGATGCAGTACGGACGTCTCACCTGAGAGCGAGTAGTCGGTGGAGTTGATGTGCAGGGCGGGCGTGTAGGTGACGCTCGGCACGTGGTGGCCTTTCTCTCTCTGCCGGTAGCGGAACCAGACCACCAGGCTGAGCATGGCCATGATGAGCAGCAGCAGGAAGATGATGCCGAGGACGGCGCCGGCCGACTGGCGCTCCGACGCCAGGGCTGGGCTGATCTTGGTGTAGGGGTTCAGCTCCTCCATCATCAGAGCCGCTGAGGAGGAAACATATATTTAAAACTCAATCAAAAAAATATGGCAGATCACAGTTTACAGCAGTTAATGATTGCATTGAAAAAGGGGAATATCGAATATAAAATGTAGTTGACATTTACATTTTTATTGAACTTATTATAATCATTTTCTCTCTCACCCCAACTGGTCGAGACAGACGACCACCCACCTAGAGCCGGAGGATCTGTCCTAGGTTTCTGCCTTTTAACAGGCAGTTTTTCCTTGACCTTGTCTCCAAGTGCTTGCTCATGGTGGTACTGTTGGGTCTCTGTTATTAATGTTTTAAAGAGTTCGGTCTAGACCTGCTCTATTTGAAAAGTGTCCTGAGATAACTTCTGTTATGAATTGGCGCTATACAAATAAAATTGAATTGAATTGAATTGAATCATTTTAGGAATTATGAATGACTTTATATTAAAGAAATGTCACGTACCCCCTGCAGTACTCCAAAGTACCTATAGGGGCAGCCCCATTTGAACTTGCGACCACTCTTCCTCTTTGTTAGTAATATAATTATAAGTGTGTGTTTGGATTGGATTGCCTAATTGAAATACTGTAAAACATCTAACAGTAGCTCAGCGTTTATTTGTGTAAACCACTGATCTCTCCCTGCCTTTATTGAGGACACTTGTTTAATTCGCACAAAACTTTTGCTCAGCAAAGACGGGAAATACGATCTAGTTGAGCTGCTTCTCCTGAACAAATCTGACAACTAACAGCTCGTACTTACCAGGCTAGTAAAGGAGACCTGCGTCTATTTGGGACCCTGCTTTTATTAGTTACAGTATTAAAAAATGATGGCGCTTAGAGACAGCTCAACAGCTGATGGAGGGACATGTTAGTCCAACGGAGAACTCTTTGTACCTTCATATTACACTAACACTTTCACTATCTTATGCAGATTTCTGGAGTGTTCATCTCCGTGTGCGTGTGTGTGTGTTCCCATGTCCTCTTTTTGTTCAGGATTGACAGGGAGCTGCATTACCCCCCCCCCATTAGTTCTCACCCTGGTCACAGCGGATGCCTTTGAAGCCGATGCTGCAGTAGCAGGTACCCGTCACGTAGTCGCAGGTGGCGTTGTTCATACACTCACACAGCTGCTGGCAGCCGTAACCGAACGTCCCCGCAGGACACTCTGGGGGAGGGAGGGAGGGAGGGAGGGAGAGAGAGAGAGAGAGAGAGAGAGAGAGAGAGACAGAGAGGGAGAGAGACAGAGAGAGACAGAGAGAGAGAGAGAGAGAGAGAGAGAGAGAGAGAGATTTAATAAGGGTTTAAATAGTGTTTTTTATTGTGAAGCATCAACTGCTAAGACAATAAAACAAAGTGTGATTGTTGCTTCTTTTCCATATAAACATCAGATCATCAAAAAAAGAACAGAAAAAACATTTTAAAATAAAAACTTAAAAGAGATGGATGAAATCAAAACAGATTTAAAACAAACAGCTGTTCTCTATATACAGACACAGAGTCACATGGTGTCTCCCTCCCTCCGCCTGTGTTGGAAACACTAACAGAGACGGTTTTCTTGGGTTTTATTTTATTTCTGTCCCAGTGGTTTTGCTCTGAGATGCTGGCGCTCCGGTGCGACATCCAGTGGAAAGTGAATTTTTGTGAATATAAACTTTAAGTTAGCTCTTTTCTTTAAATACGTAGCAGTGGACAATATGAGTAAAATCCTCTATGACAGTAAATGTATAATATAATAGTTTTCTTCTTTTTTAAATATGCAAACAGATGTGAAAACTATCAAAGCACAAAAACAAATGGTTGTTTACCTTTCATCCTGAATATCTGACATTCTGCAGAAACAACAACAACAACAACAACGACAGTGACATGTTGATGTCCAGAGGCACTCACTGAGCTCACAGCGCTCTCCGATGAAGCCCGTCCTGCAGGAGCATTGTCCACTGATGTGGTCGCAGTCCGCCCCGTTCTGGCAGCGACACACCTCGGCACACTGCGAGCCGTAGAAACCCGTCGGACAGCCTGGAGGAGGAACACGCTTATAAGTTCTTCAAACAGAGACATGATCCACAAATCTGG